TGCAGCTTCTTTTACTTTACCTAAAATTGAAACTGCACTTCCATAATTAAGCTGGAATATTATGCTGTGTATCTGGAGTTGGAGTATCTTGCTGCAGAATCTTTCAGCTGGTTATTAAGTCTTCGGTGGGCAAATTTCTTCTTTATTCCCCACTTGCATAATACAAAGTATCTTCAGTATCTGGGATATCATTTGCTCATTAGCACTTTGTCCTTCGTGCAAGTATCTTCTACAACAGAACAGGATACAACTTCTCCCTGGGGTTTGGTCACCATTTATTATCCAACGAATCTCAGACTAAAGCTGGAGAACAGCTCATGGGCCATGACCTAGAGACAGTTCAATTCAGTAGTTAGGGGAATTTCATGTGACATCTGAGTTCTGTAGATAATTTCTTGGCATGGAATCAAATATCCTTTTTTCTTCTCAGTACCCTTTAGAACAGCTCCTTGTATCTGCATCAACCCACTCACCTTGCTTACAAGATGTAAATGCTTATTTCCTTCCCTCTCCTGCTTCTAAACAACGAAACAATATTACATATAAAATAAGCTTATTGTGCCATGAAATGACAATCTATTTCAATGTCAATTGCACAGATCTCAAAATTAAAGCTCTCTGAAATCTCTCTAGGTTTGAAATTGAGATAAAGCCAGAAAAAAAAAAACATCTGTTGCTGATTTAAAATCAATGTTTTGTATTTCATTTGAAGACTTCTAGCTTTATATTAGACTAAACTCTCTCCCACATCCTAGAATGGCACACACAGGATAAACTGACTGACCATATCAAATAGATAACACAAAAGACAAGCTTCCAGCACTCTCACAAAAAGCAAAAGCAATTTCATCCCTGCAAGAAACAATGTGGTAACAGCATCCCTTGCCCTCCTATTGCACCCCTGTGCCTGCCTCTGCCTGCCCAGTTCTGTCTCTGCATTGGATACTCTGTAGTGGAAGGGCCCAAAATTAGCACAGTTCCGCCTTTCACACTGTGAGTCTTCCTGCAGATTTTTCCTGTGATCGAACCAGCTTTTCCCTGGATCCTCTTTGAAAGTCACCCTCTGTCCAGCTGTACTTTAAGAGGGCTACAAAGACAAGAGCTGAAAAAAACCCCATACCTACTAATGTTCACCGATTTCACCACTGAGCTCTGGGTGACCCACTCTGGCCATCTGTCTGAATCTTTTGAGAAGGCTTTTTTGAAAGCCTGCTATGTACAAATAGTATGAGAAAAGGGCTGGGTTTCTACACATCTGCCAAATAAACTCCTGCATTTCATATAAAGTGTACTGCACTAAGCTGAGAACAAACAGATTTACTTAACAAACAAGTTCGAAGCAGGGATAAGTCTGTCAGCCTTAAATCATCTGCAACCTCTAACAAGAACATGAGGCTTTAAGACTATGTAGAATAATTTTCTGCTCAGCTGGTGTGATCTTGGGTCTCACAGCAGAGAATCCCTGTGAGGCTGAAAAATGGGTGTGCATGGGATCTAACCTGCAGAGATGTTGAAAGTTACCGAGTCCAGCAAACTTCCATTTAATTTCTTCCATTTATTTTTTTCTGAAAGTTATTTTCCATGCTCCTATTTAATTTATGTCTGGTCTGACTAGGTCAGGTTGGCAAATGTTCTATTAATGCCTGAGATGGAAGGACTTCTTTTCAGATAAAAAAAAAATAGAAGCATATTTCTTTAATAAGGAGTATAAGCACGTGGAATTGTGATTGTTCTTCTTCGCCTGGGCTCAGTTCCCTAGGTCACACATCTACTGCATTCAGTACCAACAAGATGGGCCCTCAAAAAAGGAGGATTTAATACTCTTTTCCTCCATGGCCTCCTGCGTTTGGTGCTTCTCTGCCAGCATCCCCTTTCATGCATGCCTAGATTAGGACTGACCACAGCCTCCTAACGCATTTCCCATCAAACAGCACTGAAGGTGTTAGAGCTGCCTACTGCATCACAAAACTCCACTATAAAGTTTCTCTTTCACTTCCTCCTTATGGCTTGCTGCTCTTTTACAGAATGCCCTGCATCTGTCACTTGCCAACGATCCATCATCTTTCCCTAAAAAGGCCTGAAGAGCAACCTATTCTGTGATTTTTCAGCCAGCATATTCGTCTCAGCACTTGTTCAATTTTGACAGTTCTCTGCATGAGTTTGAAGCAGCAAATCTTTTTATTCAGCACCCCACTGAAATAATTCATCATTTCTGTAGCTGCACTTTCTGTTGGAGATGATAACAGCATAAACCTGTTGTGGTTTACACTGAAAAAATAAACCCCTCATACTTGAGGTCTCTGTCCAAATATACCAAGCTTAATACTAAAAAAAAGCTCATTCTGTAGTCAAGCAAGCCTAGGCTTAGCCATCCTTCACACTTAGTTCATACAGTAGCTTTGTTTCAGCATCTAGCACTATACTGCTGATAATGTTGATTACTTTCTTTCCACATCTCTTCTGGGTTTCCTATGTTAGCCTCTTATCAGTCTGTTCTCATGCAACAGAGGCACTAAGTGTTTCAGAAAGCAGGCTTTCTAGCTGCTTTGATCATTCTTTCTCAATTATATAATTTAAATGCAAGTTATTGATCATTATAATGCCCTCATAAACCCTAAAATGGAATGTTATTTTACAGACAGCAGCCATGAAAGTATTCAGTAATGAGTAACATGGTAGGTTTTAGTGACACTTTTTTAGATATTCCTATCGGTTACATTCTGCATTTAGTTAAATTTAAGTAGAGGAGATTTGTGCTCATGCATACCCTGATGAACATATTTTGTGGGAGTTAAATAGTAGCACAATTACACAGTCTTCCCTATTTACTCTTGAAAGTATATTTGGTGATGTTGCTCATTAGTTTTTAACTTAACTCCACAACAGCCTCTTCAGATAGCATTCCTTTTCAAGAGCCTACCTTTTAAGAAGCATTTTCATTGCTGATTTCTCAGCTTCTATGGCATAGTTAGCAAGTGTTGCTTAAAGTAAGCCTAAAAATAATTTTCTAATGTTTACTCAGAGAAGAGCACAAAATCATGAAAAATACCACATGCGTGGATAGCTCAGGGCACAAACATCTGCAGTGCTTTCAATCTTCCTCCGTGGCAGACAGTTACCCTCCTCTGCACTATTAATGCTGCTATTTTTAGACCTTTAATGAAGAGTCCAGTTTAAAATAGTGTATGCCAACTGTATCATATGTATTTCCTCAAACACAGTACAAACACAACCCATGGACAGCACAAAAAACATTAACTGCCTAATGTATTTAGTACCATCTGACGTGATCAAACTTATGTTACAGGGGTCTTTAGACTCAGTAACTTCAGTTACATCATACAGATGCAGCTACAGGTATTCATGCAGTTATCAAGGAAATGGAATTAAAAGAAAAGCTAACACACACAAGGACTAAAGGAGAGAGCAAAAGTGCTGGCTACATGGCAGTCAAGGGTTTGTACAGACATTTAATTGATTTTGAGAAGAAGGTAGTTTGACATCAAGCTAGGTAATATTGAGACAGCTAAATAATGAGTTGGTCACCTAACATTCTACTTGTTAAACAGGGTAACAAAAAGATCTGGAAGGGCCTTCTATGTATATGAAGGTAGCAGCAGAGATAGATTAAAAGGAATTGGCAAGCTATTACTTGCATAAATGTTGGGCCAGTTATTATTATTTCATATTACCAGAATCATTTGGGTTGCCACATGTATCACAGAGTGGCAAGTCCTTTAGAACTTTTGGTCAGAACAAAAGAAACCTGATAATATGATGGTCATCTTACAGATATACAAAATACATTAAATAATTGTTCCCATAATCCATTAAATTGATGGATTGGATTATTAGAATGGAAATGTTTTTCTTAATAGAATACCATGGTATAAAGTGTTAGCCCAGTTTTTGACCACCTGCTGTGATGTTTGAAAACCCTGAAAATGGCAAGCTGAACTAGAAACAAAACCTCAAGACTTTATACTAGTCTATACTGATGACAGAAGAAATTTAATGCAAAGAGATACTTTTGCATCCCTCTGTGTAAAAGACACTTAGTGTCACACAGCGGGTCATGCAGCAGGACTACATCAGAATCTTATAAAACAAAGGAGGTGTAGGCATTTAGGTATTTATATATAAATTCTACCTTGATAAAAATTGAAAAGCACCATGTCTAATCAGAAATTCTATTGTAGCACATTGAGAATGCAGAAAGAATGCCTTAGGTTAGAATGATTTCCAAACATTTGATTTTGTGAATGTCTGATGTCCAAATACAAATAAAAGATATTTCATGAGTGCCTCTCCTCTGTTCAATTGTGTAATAGTGCTGTCAGTCTGCTTTGTAAAGCTCCAATTTAAACTTAATTTACCTATTTCCCATGTCATTCTTTCATCCACTTGGAGAAACACAGATCTTGCAGTCACAGCCTTCTGACTGCTGAACAGATTATTGGCATGCAGGCAGTGTGTAACTTAAAGCCACTTTCCAGCAGAAAGCCACTTTAAGTTTTACAGGAATTTTTATCAGCTAAGATAATAAAGATGCCCCAAACCAGGGTGAAAACGATGAGCGGTGAAAGACTGTTTGCCTGGCTATTTCTGTCAGGAACCACACTGAAAAAAGAAAATTAATTAAAAAATAAAGCAGTTTTTGCCTTCCATGTCTGTACAGGAAGGAGACCCTTAATGAGCAGTCTGCACTGTTTCTGCAGTTACCTTCTGCATGCTTCAAATTAAGTTGCAAGTTGTATGTGTATTTCCTGGACTACCATAAGGAGTTCCAGAATTAGCGTCAGCCTAAAATCACAGTATATAAACCACAGTCACTGGATTAAACTGCTTTCACCTAGTCTTTCTGCTTCACTAGTTCATCTTTTGTTGCATTTGCAAATAAGGTGGCATAAGGAAATTGCACGCAGAACAGAGCTCTCTTTGGATTATGTACTAAAACAGTGTTCCCTCAAAAGGCTTAGAATTGTTTTACTAGATCTCACCTCCTCAACCATGTGCTTGACTTTCTTCTGTTGGCAGTGGACCATATCATCCAGATGTTTGATTCGCTCTCTTAGGCTAGCTGCTACCTCCTCCAAATGCTGTGACCTAGCAAAACATGGAAGAATTAAGTATATGAGTAGGAATCTATGCAATAAAAGCAAAAGAAGAGCAAGCTCCACAATCCCACCATAAATCAGGAAAACCAGGTCAAGGAGTAGGCAAGTCATATTCGCTGACAGATGTCAATTTGTCCAAAGTACATTTTAATGGTAGTCTTTTAGTCAAAGTGGCTGTCTCCACCCAAGTTAACCCACCTTTGTGTCGCATACTGGCTTGCTTACTCAGTGCCTGAAGTGCTGACACTTAAACAATGTGATAAAGCTCACCTCCTTAAGATGTCTGTTTTTCCTTGAAGTGAAAAGCGTTTACATAACTAGGTCTTTATCACAGAATCACAGAATGGTTAGAGTCGAAAAGGACCTTAAGATCATCTAGTTCCAACCCCCTGCCATGGGCAGGGACACCTCGCACTAGACCTTGTTGCCCAACGCTCTGCCCAGCCTGGCCCTGAACACTGACAGTGATGGAGCAGTCACCACTGTTTTGGACACCATGTTCCAGTGCCTCACCACCCTCACAGTAAAGAACTTCTTCCTTATATCTAACCTGAACTTCCCCTGTTTAAGTTTAAACCCATTTCCACTTGTCCTACCACTACAAATCACCAAAAGACACATTTATATTGAGTTATTATCACCTGAAATCTTTTTGGAAATGCATACTAACTAAAAGCCAGGAAGCACATCTGCTGGCATCCTTTTCAAAGCTCTCCCACTACAGTTGAGGATTTGGCATAGTTGCCAACAGCAGAGTTAGTATTAATAACTATATATAATAACTGGAGTTAGTATTCTGGAGTTAATACTGAAGTAATACTAACTCATCAAAAGCAAGAAGTGTAGTGAATGTTTTAAGTTTGTATGAATGACTCTTTAGATAGATTCTGCATTTCTTCAAATCTGTTTAAGACAGAAACTGAAGACCCCCAGAACTCATGCCACAAGCTGGTTTCACAGCTTACCAGAAAAGTAGTTTTAGAATACACAAAGACACAGGAGGGAAGCGGTTTAGTAAGTTTGGGGCATGATGGCCATGGGAGCCTCCACTTTTATCTGAATGTACAATTCTTGCAGTTCTTCAAAGAAAGCAATTGCTTGCTTACAAAGTAAACTTTTGTACTCTTAGGTTCAGGATTGGACACAATTTGAGAAGTGGAGGAGGGGAATCAAAACCAAAAAGGCTCTTTTCATCTTGGTCTGTGCACAACAGAAGAAACTGTTGAAGCTGCATTTAGAACAACCATACAAAGGCAAAGCAGCAGATGGCAAACTGTATGACAAGACTTCAGTGAATGACTGTGAAAACTTTTTCCCCCCAGAAAGAGTCTCTATTAGCAGTGAAGTACTCTACAGAACTATAACTCCAGCACTTTGACAAGGACTCAAAAAAAATCAAGGCAGTGCTGCAGGTTTTTCAGTCCCACAAAACCACAATTTACATTTTGACTGCAACTGTAACACGTATTTGATCTCTCTTTGGAAGATTCAAAATTTTAAGCACTGATGGCAATGGAGCAATGTAAAAGAGGTCCTTCCTCAGGTGGAGCTCAAGTGTCTGGTGAGGTATAGACCTGTAAAGAGAACTTAAGAACTTCAGCATCTGAACCCACATTCACTGCTTGCATTGCATAAATTGCAACTCTGTGCATCCCTGAATTGCACAAATTCTTGTCTGGACACTGCCTTTATACTGCAGTATACTGCCTTTATACTGAGTGGCCAGAGAAGGATCCACTGAAGCGAGAAGAGTATCTGTTATGCAGAGGTAAAGGAAGAAAGCAATTATCTTTCATCTCCATATTATATGTTGTATGCAATATCTGCTCACTTTAAATTATTATTTTAACAAGCTGCTGTGAAAAGCTGTTATAACCCTTAAAGCAGATAAGCTGGTCATAGATCAATGCAACTAGGCAGTGAGATGCTCTCAGCAAGGGCCTCCTTTTCTGTTATGCTTCCTAAAGAACAGTGAGATGCCAAAACCTTAAAACTTTATTTCTTGGTGCCACAGAAAACAATTATTCAGTCTCTACTTACGATTCATGTTTACCCACTTAAGTAGTGTCATATAAACTTTTAAACAGCAGATGCAATTTTCACTCAAATGGCAGTTATGCTATTTCAGTGCTGGATAGATTTCCCTTGAAATGTTGCCTTTGGCTTTCCTTGAACTTTTCTTTTGCCTGGTCATGATGCTCTGTCAGCCTCAAATAAATAGTAATGGATGCATGTGCCGTCTGTGGGCAGAAACAGCACATCCAGGTGCCACCACACTACCAGATCTTTCTTCTAAGCTTCATGCTTTTGAGAACAACCATTTACAGGGGACTCACTGCCAGTAATATCGACCTTACTTTACCCAAATAACTTTGTAGCTTACTTCTGCATTGTGATGCTACATGACAGATTTCTTCCACACCTTCACTTTGTTCATGTGCATACGTTAATGTGCACCACATGTATAGACCAGCTCCTCCAAGCGTTAAATATATTTCCTGCTTTCCCTCTTTTATGCTTTTATGTTTGCAAACAATTTTTAAGAAAGATGCATCGATGTGGGGGTTTTGTTGCAAGAATTAATCCTCTTGATATTTTATGTGTAAATAAGCTTACATTCAGATGGACAATCCCTACAAGACTGCAATTTTAAAGATAGATAAAATAAAATTCAGGTGTCTTCGAAAAACAAACCAACCACCCCCTAAAGTTTCTTAGCAATACCACAAGTTCCACAGACAAGATGTATCTCACCTTTCAGTGTCGGAGTTGTTTTCGGATTTTGCTCCAGATATTTGCATTTCATTCAGTTCAAGTTGTTTTTGCAGCTGGTGACGTTCCTAAACAAGAAATGTTATCCTTCAGTTACCCGTGTGTCAAAACGTAAAGGCTTTGTAAAGCATATTTCATTGCAATTCAAAAGATCTTTTGTGAAATTAAAATAGAAACTGATGAAACAAAATTCATGAAGGCACACAGGATGCATAAGAATAAAATCAAATTCCCAGCTATGCATGGAATTAAGATCAGAGTTTTCAATTTCCTTTTTGAAGATGTGCAGTTGTACTTGAAACTGAGGATTTTGAATAAAAAGATGAGTCATCTTAAACAACATAAATGTAAAATTTTCCAAGTTATCCCTTCAAAAAATCTCTCAATCCAAGGCTGAGATACAAGATATTGCTCTATTTTCTTCTCCAGAATATTCTTGTTTAATTTTCAGGTGTCCACCAGCACAGCACCTGTGAAAAACCTATGACGCTTTGGGAACTGAGTCAACACAAACTAACAGAGGAGTCTGCTGTCCACTTCAATGGGAATTTAAGAGGCATTCGGTTTTATTCTGCAAGTATTGGCCAGATAAGAGCAACTTAAATAACCGACATGAAGAAACTCATCTGTACTTAAGAACTATACTGCAATCTTTCATTCACTGCAAAATACAAATTGTAGGGAGAAACCCAGATTAAGTTAATGGAGCTGCTAAAGGGCATGTTAAACTGAATGACTGCTCAGTATAATCACTAGTTCTGCTAATAGATTTGCAAGCATTAGATAAGAGAGGTTCAATATAAATTCACATTAGACTACCCAGTCAAGCCAACAAGACAGGCTCATAAAAATCTATTTCTTGGTAACAAATATTTAATATACTAAATTTCAGCCACTGAAAAAAACACCTCATGTGTAAGAACAGAAGATCATAGCCCCTTCACTTACTAGAATGCTCTCTGCTTCTATATTTTAGATAGCAAAGCACAGATCTTTAAAGATAATGAGATGCCTGCTATTAAATGAAATGAGAAATGCCAAAGTACATCCAAGAGCACTGGAGCCTTTTGGAAGGGCTGCTCTTATGCTGTCTAGGGTGACACTCTTCAGTCTGAGGACTAAAGAGTAACATTCATTCTCAGTTATGGGAATGATACCAGAAAACTAAGAGGAAATTTCACCATAACTGTTAGGCTGATACTTTTAGGCTTAACAATAGATTAAAATAATAATAATTTGATGACTAGTTTGAGTTTTGCCCTGGAGCGTAGCCTGTAAAAGAGAAGAAGGGAAATAAGGAAATACAAAGAAGCAATGCAAAAAGTACTAAAACTAGTTTTACAGAAGTGTCACGCTTGACAGTGTCACAAGAGGTAAATGTCTCAGAGCTTTTCTGCTTTCAGAGCTTTAAAATTCAATTGTCAAAAACTTACTCTCAATTACAGTTTGGTAGGGAATATTTAGCCAGGCAGAGGAATAATTAATGCTTTTTAATACCAGCAGGAAAGGAAGAACATAAATTTTGGATTAAAAGGTAGTAAAAATGATTTTTTTAATTCTTTCCTCAAATTATTCTGAGCTATAATCTAAACAGGATATCAGAATGGAAGATTAATTGATTGTTAGATACCCACAAAAAAATCCTCAAGACATTTTAATCTGAAGCTTTCAGTTTAGCATTTCATCCCCAAGTGGAGAAATTTGGAGATACAATTCCTATCAGGACTATAAACAGCTAAACAGAAGTATCTATTGCTAACTAAGTACATTTTAATCAATCATAGAATCATAACTGTTTGGGTTGGAAAGGACCTTAAAGATCAGATCAAGATTTGGGACTGGAAACCTGCTGTAATGTCTGCCCAGAGCCCTCTCTTCTCCAGGCTGAACAAGCCCAGTTCTCTCAGCCTGTCTTCATAGGAAAGGTGTTCCAGCCCTTTGATCATCTTTGTGGTTTCCTCTGGACTCGCTCAAGCAGGTTCACATCCCTCTTTTGTTGGGGACCCCAGAGCTGAAGACAGTACCCCAGGTGGGATCCCATGGGAGTGGAGTAGAGGGATAAAACCCCCTCCCTCAACCTGGTCATGCTCCTTTTGAAACCAACCAACATTGTTGGTTTCTGGGCTGCAAGCACACACTGCTGGGTCATGTTGAGCTTCACATCAACCAACAACCCCAATTTATGCTCTCAGTCAGTTCCTCATCTATCCCCATGCAAAACTCTATGCACTCCGTGAACCTACAAACAGCAATTCTAAGAGACTTTGGATCATTAGGCTTAGGAGACCTTGCACACTGAAGGAAGACTGAACGGTCTTTTTAAACTCTTTATTTAAAATAATGGTTAATTTAATAAATATATTTTGACACTTTAGGCAGCCCTGACTGTAAAGACCACTACAAAGATAGAACCACTTAATCATAGTGTCTTTGTGGTAGACCAGGTCCATTTACTTATATGGATACAATAATTAAGATAGATGCAAACAGCAATAGTATGTCACTGATCAGGGTACTGAGCAGTGGAAATGGAAAAGGGAAAGTTAAAAAAGAAACTGATTTCCTCCATGCACTTCTGTATTTGATATAAAGTTGGTACCTGACTAACTCTCATACCTCTTCCATGCGTTCAATCAGCCGGTCCAGCTCACCAATTCTCTGGTCTTTTTCCTGTATGCTTGTTTCTGTAATCTGCATCTTCTTATTTGCCTCTTCAATAGCCTTCAGAAGCCGATTTGTTTCCTCCTTCAAATAAGAACGTTTACAGTCACATTAACATCCCATAGAGCCAGGATAATGGCTTTCAAGCAGAGCTCAAAGCTTTTCACTATATCTGCCCAGAAGTCTGGAAGAGTTGTGACCTTAAAGGTGAATTGTATAGAACAAAAGATCTGGGGTATTTTTATTTAAAAACATCATTATGAAAATCCAAGAAAAACTTTTAGCCATTTCTTAGATATTTGTTTTCCGTTCTGAGGATGCCATGAGTAACAACATAAGAAAAATACGCTGTTGCAGAAGATAACATTTTAGAAACCAAAGTTTGCTACGTTCAGCTTTGTACTTTCCTTATATATAAAACAATATCAAGAGACTGGGGAATCTACCTTCAGTTTCCATCATTATCTACTTTATCTGCTAGAAAAATGCAATGACTAACTGCTCATAGAAAGCTTTTACTTGGGAGTGGAGGGAAAGCAGGGAACAGGAACAGTTCTTCCTCCAGCATTATCCAGTTAAGTTGTTCCCTCTCTTCTTAAAATATAACTAAAATTGGAGATTATATTTTCCTTTCTTTTTTTTTTTTTTAAGAGAGAATCAAAAGTCAAAAACTGCAACTTACTCCATATCAAATTTTGAAATCTACATTATTATCACTGTTACTGTGTTTGAACACATTGTTTTCTTAGTCTTTCAATCACAAAAGCTTGGAAAGCTTAATAACCTTGGCATGACTAGTTCACAGAGACAGGCGTGAAGGAACACATCAGCTCTGGAGTATTACGTGATTCAGAAACACCCAAGATAAGCACCACTCTTACAGACTGATTGTACATACTAGGAGGATTTCTTTCTCAGCTTTATGTTTCTGCTCCTCTTCTCGCATTTTTTCCTCATACTGATTGTACAGTTTTCTTGTCATCTCTCTCATGACTTCAGCATTGGCTTCCTGCGATGATTCCACCTATGAGAGAGGAAAGTTGACCTGTCAGTCAGTACAGCACTGCTGGCAGCAGGAGGAGTGAAGTTCACATGGTGTGAGAGTAGCACTTTGAACTTCAGCTCCACCTTGTTATAAATTTGACACTGCTGAAGCAGATTTTCATTTGCATCAAGACCATTTACGGTACTCTGCCAATACGTAAGTAATCTGAGTTTGTAGAAGTTACCATTTCATCAGGTTTCACATTGTCTGAATTTAACTGGTTATTGCTCATCCAAGACCAGGCTATGACCCTTTACTAAGCCCTCTGGTAACAGACCCAAATCACTTGGTTTGTTTCCCATTGAAAAGATATTTGTCTCCCCTCATTTTAAAGAAGCATAGATTAGAGATGGTCTAGACTCAACTATTGTTTCTAAATGATCATGAACCTCAAAGCAATAATTACTTCAAGCTGGACCTAAGCATGTCTTTTTAACTAGAAGACACAGCTGTATGGTCCCTCCTCCCTTGGTTTTCCACACACTGCTCTTTGTGTAGGCAGAAAAACTGGGGTGCCCATGAAGAAAAGCAGATTAGAGAACAATCAGACAATATTCTCAGGGTGTGGAAGGGTTAATTTCTAACCACATGACCAGAAACTTTACTATTGCTACAGGGAAGAGGGCAGGAATGGTAATTCAGAGACAGGATTTCCCCCTTCTGTTGGCTCAAAACACTGACTGAACCACACCCTCAGTCATTAAACGCCAGATAGGGTAGTCATAGCTTAAACCCATCGACTCTGTAAGCATCAATAAAATAGCTAGCCCAGGACTTAGTTCTTTTATTACAGATGCTATAAATCAGACAAGGTTGTACTGAAATGCTGTGGGTCCTACAAAAATGTCAGGAAGAGGAGGAATACACTGTCATGTGGGAGAAGAATAAAGTGCTCCTTGCCCATCACTACAGTTCACACAACCACAAAATGCCTGGTTCTGATGATTAGGGTTTTGGTATCACTGGGGGCTTTTTTAGGGGGTGGGTTTGGATCTGTGTGTTTGCTTGCTTGCTCCTGGGGTTTTTATTTGTTTGTTTTTCCATTTCAAGGACTGAAATATTTATTAAACCCCTGTGTTTATCTTGCATGGGGGGAACAAGCTGTGTTACTACCCTGTTTAACAACAGCATATTTCATCCTGAAAAGAGTCTGAGCTCTGAAGAACATTACTTGCACTGCAGTTGTCTCCTTTGGTGCCTCACCTAGACCAACACTGGGGCAAGGGCAGCAACCTACACTTTGTGAGAGGGAATGAGTGGAGTTAGCTCTCAGTACAACAAAAAACCTTCCATATTTCAAGAAGCATGAAATAATCATATAGTTCAGAAAAAGCCAACAATGAAACCCCAGAGTCTTTAAGATATGCTGAACTGGAATATGATCATTGGCACTGTCTCTCCATCATTCCTTTGCTTACAGGTTGAGCAATCAGGAGAGTAAAAACAAGCATGAAAAAGTAGGCGCATCAGGGCATCTGTTATGGGACTCTTAAGCAGTGTCTCCAAACTTAGGTATTGTTATGATTGTATGAATAAGCCAAAGATCCTTAATAAGCTACAGGGGTGTGTTCTCCTACCCAGAAAAGGATCACAGCATATGGTAGTTACTGCTTTTCAACTGCTATCCCCCCGGATTCCAAACCCTCCTCTTACATTCACCCCTGGAATTAAATCCCAGATGTCTTGCAATTTTATGTTTAATTTTCAAAGACAGAAATGACGTATTTTACCCACTAACTTCATAATAAAACTGCAATTTTGAGGGCAAAATTTAAAGTTTTCCCTCATTAAAGCAGGGTATGTATTATGCAGACCTTGACATGCTCAAAGAGAAACAAGTTCTTATGTATTCAGTTGAACTTGGACTGAACCTGTGGTTCTCTGCCCTTAGGAGCAGAAATACCTTCTTCTCTTTTAACCATTCATCACTAAGCATGAATGCAAGTCACTAGAGAGCCAAAAAGAAACATCTTCATTGGAAAAATTAAACATTAATAAACCAGCAGTCACCTTAATTTCACAGTGACAAATCCTGATACAGTCTATATCCAAATTAGTCTACACTGAGCAATTTTAGAAGGAGCAAAGGTTTCCAGACGTTTTTTTGCTTGCTTGGTTATTGTTGCTTTTGGCTTTGATTTTCTTTTTGTTTTGTTTTGTTTTATTGTTTTGTTTGTTTTTTTTTTAAATGACATTAAAGGAATACATTTGGCAGATGAGTGGAGAACACGGTCAAGATTTCTGCCATGTATTACTTTTCAGTTTCCATTTTATTCCCTTGCATTTCTCTGAAAGGAATAGCTGAAGTCTCTTTCCAAGACACTGGCTGTTACAGCATGTATCTGTGGATCACATGTTCATAAGACTTAACAGATTACCTATTAAAAATTGTGCAACACCAAAGAAATTCATTATGAAGAAATTCTTATAGCACCATATAGAGTTATAATATTGCTTTTCTTACAGCAATGGACGCTAATAACTATTCTATGGTTTGAATTTTCACCTGCCAACATCCCTGAATGACAATCCTATGTTATGGAAAGACTGACTGCTGCCAGCTGAAATTCTCTGTTATTGAAACAGGATTGATTCACAGCAATACGTTGGCTCTAGGGAATGATGAAGGCATGAAGAATGAAGAATACTTTACAAATACGATATAGGAATTCATTTAATATACTCCTAATGCCCTTACTGGGCAATATTTTTAGGGGAGTTTATATACCACACCTTTAATTTCAGTAACTGGTTTTCTATTTGTGCTGTTTCCAGTTGCTTTTGCTTCTCTCTCAGCTTTTCCATAGATTGTTCATGCGTATGTTTTAAATTCCTTATTTGTTCCCTTATATCAGTGTTCTCCAATGTAACGTCAACTAGAGTTTTCTAGAGGAAAGAGGCAAACCACATATTAAAAATCATAAATAACTTGGTGAACTAATACAGTCAAGAGATTATGGAACAGACAGAACATTTAGTTTCCTGATGTATCAATGCAGTGGGAACAATTTTGCACATTTTAATGTTTAAAATGATAGCTCTAGTTGTATTTTGTTTACTAGGAGATATTTCCATGAGGAATGTGCTAAGTGAAATCAAGTCCTGGAATGCTATAAGAAAAAAACCAACAAAGGAACATGGATATATTTCAGCATGAATACTACTCCCAACAGTCTTCCTTTCTTCTCTCCAAGGGCCATATTATACATATTAAATACACTAGACTGAGGAAAAACTGTGACATACAAGAAAGCAGGAACATTAAGTTTTTCAGCTCAGATACCTGTAAGTCTTTAACACAGAAAATTCATTCCCACCTTCTCCCTCCCCCTACATTTCACAGGTATGTAAATTCCCACAAGTGTTTAGCATCCAAACAGGCCACTTCCATTTCTGTTAACCGGTGAAGGTAGGGATCAGTCAGGAGATGAACCGTTTTGCACAACACAAAACAAATCACATTTTCACCTTAGATATTTCATAGAGATATGCCTAATGACATTAGTCTGCTGCAGATCAGCATCTCTTTATTGTATACTATTTTTAATAGGTTTTAAAAACACAGGTGTTGGAATTTGGTCTTTGCTTCCTAAATTAGCTGCCTTAGATAGCCAAGACAGTACTTTATGATCTTGTTTAGTGTTAGAATCTGTATCTGTCATCCATGTTTTATGTATGCTTTTAAATCCATGTCAGAAAAGGTGGTTGTCAGCTGTGAAACAGCTATTAAAATGTACCTGCAAGTCTATTGATGCTGATGTCAAGGAGCTGTTCATTTCACTAAAGCTATCTAAGGCTGCAGCCTGCACTCGCACATGATTCTCTAAGGATTCCTGATGAGCATTTGTCACCTGAGCAGGAAAAGAAAAAAATAAATAAAAATTATATAGAATAATGATCAAGTTTACCTATTCTTTCAAAGGGAGCTACATAAGAGAAAGACCCCATGGTTAATTTTCACAGTACTAGGATACTAGGATGCTTAAAATATACAGGCCTCAAACCATATTCTTGTACCTCAGAAACAAACAAACAGAATTTAGAATCCAAATACTCTTAACAGGAATAAGGCACAAGTATCTATGTTTATGGCTAGTCTGTAATTGCTGTAAAAGCTGTTCTTTTTAAGAAGGACAAGAGGATATTTAGCAGATGGCTACTCGGAAAGCTTATGTACATGGAGTGGGCAGATTTTGAGAAGTCACAGGGTGAAAAGCAGAATAATGCAAGAAATAAGGAAATCTAGAAAGGTTTTGGTGAACTGTAGAATAGCCTTAATTAAGAAGGAACTGACTAATCAGGTCTGCAAAGAAGCAACATCAAGAAGACTTAAGGATGAAACAATAGGAAGCAGGTAGGAAAAGTCAGCAGAGAGCTTTGTTGTGTGAAAATGTCATCTTTTGTTGTGTACAAACACACACATGCTTAAAAACTGGAGGGGGTTTGGGGGTGATAGGCACAGACTGTCATCATTTAAGAGACCAAAACCCAAGCTGTGTAAGTAATTATGAAAAATCCAATAAAGAGAAAAAAATTGTTACTAATGGAGAACAGCCCACCTCACATTCTTAGATGGACCAGATTTGTTTCTTGATAAAAACATAAGAACACTGGGGACTGATACGGAGAACAATGAGTGTTTAGTAACCAAGTCATACACAGATTAGGTCAGCATAAGGAGTAGAAGCCAAGCAGTTACAGTTAACCCTATATAAACATGTGCTCATGTAAAAACAAACAAAAGCAGAAATGCTTTAGATGGATTAAGAAAGCTACAAGATAAGAACTGAGGTGAAGAAGCATACTGCCCAGGGCAGTATATTGGAAGTACAAATTACAAACAAATTTTATGAACAAAAAGTGGTCCTGAAAATCGATGGGAAAAAAGCATAGTGATTCAAAGCTGAAGCAGAATATATAAATTATTTTAAACAGAATCCACAAATAGCATGAAAGATGTTAGTCATGTTAACCCAAAGCCAATAAAAAAACCCAACCATACATTATTAGGTAGAACAACACTTGTGTTTTATTACAAGCAGTGTAAAGTATTAAAAAAGGGGGAAGAGTGTCTCATAATGTGCTATTTATGTCAGAAGGGGTACTTCATAAACTGCTAATTTGCTGCAGAACTAGAGATTCTGTCAGAGCTGATCAGAAACCCTTAATTAAGAGAGATGTTCAGACTAATGCAGGATTTCTACTGGTCTGACAGAAAGATCTGGAAGTGCCACATATCATCACTGTGATATTCATCACTAACTGTTCAATAAGGATCAGCAGCAAAGATGACAAAACTTCATCTGTATCAGCATTTGCCTGTGTGCGTGGTTGGTGGGAGACTCCCCTTGTTGACATCATTAAGATTATTTGACACAGTCCACAGCAACTGAATGTTCTCCCCCTCCTCCTCTCAAGTCAGGGTGATTTTTTTGTTGTTGGGTTTTTGGGTTGTTTTTGGTTTTTTGAGATTAGTTGCCATAGAGGTACCAGTTTAACAGCAAGTTCTGATCTTTATACATAATAGAGCATGCAGAGAACTGACAGCCTCCAAATAAGGGTGGCAGAAGGGCATAAGTCAGGGTCTCAGTCCCCTGAAGTCAGAATACCTTTAATAGCCAAAGCTTCATCTGAACCAGGGCTGTGAAAATCAATGTTGAATATCAAATCCACAGCAAGTTTTCAGGAAGATTTTTTTGGACCAAAGAACTCAGCAGTTTTATATGAAGGATACTTACTTCTACAGACTGCAGCAGCTTTTATTGCTAAAGCAGCATGTCAGAAGAAAGAGAGGTCATCGAATAACTATTACAAGGTTCAATTAAGAGCCAAAAGGTAAGTCATTTTTAGAACTGTCAAGCGCTTTAATATTAAAAAATACTGCTGCTTCTTTCACTATAGTGTTTAAACAATAAAGTCAGTAAACCAGAGCAAAGTCTGTTGAAATGACACCAAATTGCACTTTACTCCTAATTATGCACATTATTTATTCAATTCACCTGGCAGCTTTGTGGTACAAACATCTCCACTAATTACCAATACACACAGACAATGCTATTAAGATCACTCTTTTATTCCCAAGAAGCAGGCAATTAGTAATTCCATATATGAAAACATCCCTGTCCTACCTTACCTTCCTGAAGGGGAAAATAAATAAATAAAAATTTAGATGTCACATAAAACAATGAACTAGAATGGCTCGAGAAATTATTTCTGCTCTGTCAAAGCAAAAAAAAAAAAAACACCAAACCCACAAAATCTTTTTAGATAACACTGGGACAGTTATTCTCATATGCCTTACCTCCAAATGAATTTGTACTTACTTTCAGTTCATTTGTAAGCTGCTGTATTTTTCGTTTCATTTCATCGTATTCGCCATACATTTTCTTTCTTACTTTTTCCAGAGTTGCTCTAACCTGGTGTCAGAAAAAAAATTAAATACCTTTATCAAACTTATTGATGATACTCTTTATACTAGGACGTGACTTTTTGGTTTTGATAAGTTCTACATTGCTACTTCCAGTAATTTCCATTATTAATTTACCTTTTCATCAACAGCAATTTACTCTTAAGAACAAGACACAAACTGAAGTCTCAAGACTTGTCTATATAGGGGTGATACAAGTAAATGTCTCTGAGTAATTCTAAGCTTCTCTGTGCACACTCAAATGCTTGTAGATTAATAATTTAAATAATAAATTATCCATAATTCACTCTAACCTGATTACTAAACAAATTAAAATTAATTTGAGCATATAATGTTTTCATTCTGAAAAAAAAAAAGCATCCACACACAGATTTAATACACCTTCATACTTTTTAAAGTGGTTAATTAGTTTCCCTAAGTATCCTTTGAAGATAAACCCTTTAATTTAAGACTTCTAGGCTTGTACCTAGCTAAACAATATATTAGCATAAATTTATCAATGCAATTTCAAATCTGAGGAACAGAGTAATCAATTTGATTTTATTTAAGAACCAAGGACGTAAATTATACCTTGCCTTCCAAAAAAGAAAAGAAGGGGGGAGGGAGGGAAAGCATGCTGGAAGACAGCTTGGGCTTACATGCCATTGCAATCATGCACACAACCAACCTTCTCAAGAGTACACATTGTAAACACTAGTTAAATGTTTGCCTACAGTTTGCATTCCAGCTGCATAATTCAAACTCCTCTTCCCCCCCACTCCCTATCAAACACAGACTGATTGCAGATAATCTAGGGCAGCAAGGTTACCTCCTCGCTGCACAAGCTTGGGGAAAGTGCAAGGGGAAAACAGTAGGGCCTTATAGAAGAAGGGATGTTTCCAGCAGCTCTGCAGTATACCCACTCTCTCCCAGAAAGAGGGGCATTGGTCACAAAATCTATGCAAGAGGTAAGCCCAAGCCTACCCCAAGCTACGTGGTCCCTTTAGGATAAGAAACATGAAAGGTAGATGATTCCTTCACTTCACCTCAGAAAAAGTCCCTTGCCCTGTCCCTCCCCACACATGCACACACCCCGCTCCCCTTCTTGCAAGGTGCATATTTGACTCAGCTACAGAGGAAACTGTCAGCAGTTCTGATGCGGCCCATCATTTCTGGTTTAAGCCTTCACATACGTGGCATAAGCTGAGGACTTTGTTTAAGACTACTTTTAAAGATGAAACTTACCTGGCAGACCAGAGTTCAGCAGTTAGCATAGCTGAACACAGCTGCCAGAAAAGAGCAAGAGCTAGTTCATCTCTTCCTATGTTTTTCCCACTTTTTCCTGTTAGGATCAGTACTTTGAACATACACACACACACACACACACAAGACTTGCAGTCCACCTGGTCTGACACATCCCTCCATGCCACAAGCCAGCTGTGAACAGCAATAGGGCAGCCCGGGGAGCCAGACCTCATGCAGATTCACCCATCCCTGACACCACCTCAGCAGGGCAGGCAAACAACCAGGCAGGCAACCAACAGCCGACTCAGCTCACATGCCATGCGTGCACCGCAGTGGTGACATACCCTAACTGTGAGTGCAGGAACTTGAGCATGGTGAATGCTAGGGGCAAACAACTGTGAGCAGCAAAGGAGAGAAGCAAGAGCTGACAGCTAGAGATCAGGCAGATGTCAGAGCACCCATAATTCTAGTCTCTTACACTGCTGGTTTGACTCAGTGTTACTCCCTTTTGTATCAACTCAGCTTGCACTTGCATCAGTGTAACACATAGACCAATAACTTCCTGAGTGGTGAAGGTGGACAGAAAGAGAAGGTCAGTTACTTGCCCTAGGCTAATTCGGGGGTAATTTCCAAAGCCTGTGAGCCAAGGACTGATGGTCAAAGAGATGCTGAGTTTCAAGCACAGAAACCAGCTGTGTCAGAAATGCCTTTTTTTTTTTTTTTTCCAGGAGAGCTTCTGCCAATTATGATAAATGAGCATGCACAGAGAAAGTAGTACAAAGTCATCCTTATTAGGCTGACTATTTTAAGGCTGCCCCCAAATATACCCAAGTGATTTTACTGTGTCACCTAATTTAGGAGCCTTTTCAAAACTGGGGGATTTGGGAACAGGGGGGAAGCAGAAGAAGAGAGGAGAGAGTTTATCCTTTAAGGTGTCTGCCTGCATAGTTTCTTCTGTATGACATTTGAAATTCTGAAGGCTTCAGGACAGGAACCTTAATATCTGTTTGGCAGTCTGCACACCCAGCTGAGGCCCAGTCAGCAAGCACTAACAAGTATCAGTTGGCACAGAGACCTTGAGTCTGGACTGCACAGTTGCCAGGTATAGAGCACCCTTTTTTCCAACTCAAGCACTAATAAGTCAAGTCTTCAGCTTAGAGTAGGTTCCCAATTAAGATTCGGGTGTTGGGCTAGACATCAGTCAACCCATATACACTCACAGCTCAACAGGAATACATGGAAAGCATATTTCACACATTTTGAAGCTGAAAGCATAACTCACTTCTTTAATGTAATTCATCTCCTCTTTCAGCTGATCAGCTGACCAGCCATAAACCACCATTTCTCTCTTATGGTTGTTGTCAGTTCGGTGCACAACACCATACACCATCCCATGAGAGAGCTTCCCTGGAGACATGCCATTAGGTACATGGTAGAGCTCCTTAAAAATAGAAAAAAAAAAATAAGAAAGTTATTTTTAAGTCAGTACTAGAATAAAAAAATAACAAAAATACAGTATCACAGGGCCACAGGAGACAGTCAACTCTAGTGAAAGCACAGCAGCACCTAAGAACACTAGTTCTCAAATGTTTTGGGGCCAGACAGTCAACCTTCATGGTTTTAGAAAGATGAATGACCAATTTATACTTGATACAGATGATAGAAATGTCTAATTTCCACTGGCTTTAATGGAATTGATACAGATACAGCTAGAGACAATGGGCTGGATTTGTGCAGGGAGAGGTAAAGGCATGTGAGAGAAAAAGTTATCCTGGCTTACTTTAATTCACCAATACATGCTACTAGAAAATGTTCTGCATTATTTTAGCTCTCACAGTTCCCTTTAAACTCTTGCAACCACAGAATTGCCCCTCACTCCCCAAACTCCCTCCTGCAGGAAATATAAAAATTCACAAGTTCAATCAAAATTACAGAAAGCTCTCAGAAGAAACTAAATTAAAACATTTTAAGCAAGGTCCCTTAAGCGGAGCTCAGAAAATACTTGTTTACATTGGAGATAAATAAAGTAGAATTTCAGTTTGCATTTAAAGCTAACTAAGAACCTCCAAAGCAATCATTCATTTCAAGGCTGCACTGCTCTTATAGAAGTTGTCAAACTAACTTTGTAAGAGCCAAAGCAAAGCTATGAAAGAGCATTTATGTGGGTGTTTCAGTGTTGTTAACTGTTGTAGGAGAATAAAAGTTTGAAATCAGGTCTTGATAGGTAAATAGAAAGGCTGTTTTAAAGTGCCAACATTTGTTATTCTAATGATCTCCAGGAATTTGTAAAACAATAATTTTGTGTCTTTCTTTAAGGCACTCTTTGCAACAGACTCCTCTTACTCATCTCATCAATGTACTTAGTAACAAAAATACTCATGCTAACAGTAGGAATCATTTCCCTTGGCATGTAAATAAATATCTGTAAGGTCAGATGGAACCACCTCCTCCCTTCCAATCAACCCAGAGAAACATCCTTCTGTAGCAATCATCTGAAATGAGTCAGTCTCCAGAATAACTAATTTCTTCTCTTGATTACAAAGAATTAAAAAGCATAGCTTAGATGAAGACATCCACATTATGATTTTTTAAAAAGGGAAAAAAAGATTCTTACCTAACTTTGAATATTTGCAAACTAGGAACCTAAAATTAGGGATTATTTCTGAATAGAAAGTCAGAAAGACACAGTCTTGGAAACGTTGTTACTGCCTAGCTTTGCACCTTGTTTTTGAAAGGCCAGTGCCAGAGACAAATCAGTCTTACACTGGATACACCAGGACATGGCTAAATTTGGGAATATTCACTACATAGATCTTACAGCATAATCTGTTTGGGTTTGTTTTGTTGTTCAGTAATGACACTGTAGGAAAACCAATAAACTTTGAGATTCTTTACTAAATTGTCTAAGCAGTGTCTAATACTGTCTGTGACACTGAGCAGAGGCTGAAAGAGATGAAGCTCAGCATCTTACATCCATCTGCAGCTGCATCGTAGAGGGTCTCTAGTCCTTCACCATGACTGACAGTGGGGATAGCATCTGCAGTCTAAAGCAGTACCACTTTCAGCTTTTAGCAGTCAAACTAACACAACTATGGTGGCAATGTAAGAATAAATTCTTCTTTGGGTAAGGGAAAAATGAACAGGAAAATCTACTTGCATTAAGAAAAATGGGTAAAGACAGACATTTGGTTTATACTGCCCTCCCACATGGCACTGAGATTTTCTCAACACTGTAAATCCTACAGTCCTTTCCTTCACCATATCATTACTGGCTTAACCATCCTGCTGAAGCTCTGGGTGTGTATGCAGGGCTGGGAGTAAGACAATCACAGAGCAGACGCCTGATAAAGAACACTTCAGGCAAAGAACAACAAAGGCTATAAAGCAATAATTTAAAAAGAAAGCCTTAAAACCACTTAATGGAAAAACATTGGGCAGCCAGCTTTCCTTACACGATATCATTTTGCACTTGGAAAACATTACATGCAAAGCTTCACATCCTGATAATGAGAAGTTTTGTATTACGTATTATTGGGGGTTTTGTTTTGCAGTTTGGATGCATACAAACAAAAAGCCCACACCTGGCTTTTTGAGAGTAGAGAGAACACAGAAACTAGATGGCGACATGATTCAAAACTTTTCTGTGTTTGTTTGTTCCAGGGTTGTACATTTTCTTTGACAGTGTCATCACAGCTCCTCCCCTGCATCTGTATAAAAGGATTACATACAAGTTTCCATCTTCCTGATAACCAAAAGAATAATCACTTTGATTGCTTAGAGATTACTAAGGCGCCAGACACTGAATTCTTAAATCCATACCCTTTACCCATGATCATTCCTTTTTTATGAGATGAACAGCTGAATACCAGCAACTACTAAGATCCTTTGTGCCTCCAAAACATTAGCAGAATTGTTTAAAATGCCATTTGCAGAGTTCTGGATGAAAATTATGAGCAAGTTCCTTATTTTTAGCATATTATTAACACATTCCTAAGGAATGTACTAATTTGAAGGATCTCCCCCAAGGAAACACCTACAAATTCAGACCAATGGGTTTGCAGCTGGAGAATCACCCATGACACTTACATATTTCACAGAAAACAGACAAATTTACATCATAATGGACAGTACATGCAGGATTAAGTATGCACAAAGCCAGACTGGGTACATGTCTCTTGCAATAACCCTGCACTTCCCAGCTGTCTATATTGCACAAGCCTCCCAAGATGCTTTTGTCACTTCTCTTTCAGAAGAATAAAAGAACCTCCATCATCCGTTCAGTGTCCCAGTTCTACTACGTGCTATTTAAAATACAAGATACTGCTCTTACCCACCCCCCCCTTATTTCTCCTTCATATCACAACCCCCAGGGCAAGCACCTGTTAAAATTTCAGTGCAGTTCTTGCTTGATTTAAGGCTGTGCAAACCAACAGCTACACGCGTATTTGTTCTAATTTCTTTAGTCTTTTTTCTTGCTGCTCTATTTCAGCTACGCTCACCTTCTACACCCCTGTCTCTCTGGTTAGTAACTCTTAATTTCCACTTAATGACCTCTTGTTTCAGGGTTCAGCATATGCCCTGACAAAATAGGGCTAACCTGATATAGCCTCCTCTTAAGAGGAAGGGTTACAATCAGAAAACTTTGCTCAGTGCAGCTTTGAGAGGTGGATAGGTTGCTTTGCTTGTTGACTTTTTTTTAATATACCTTTGCCTCTAAAAGAGGCCTTGCTGAAAGGCTGTTTCTTGAACTGCTCCACAGAACTGCATTAGTAAGTACTCTTTGAGTATTCTGCAGTTTGTCTCCTGTCTTAAGCTACTTCCACCCACCTTGTGCCTTGTCCTCTGCTCTTCCTCCCTCACATCTTTTCACTTGGACAAACCTTGCATTTTCCACATCCCCAGGGACTACAGAATGTTTCTAAGCCAAGTATTTTTCATTGTTTTCCTCATGTGCCATGCATATCCACTCTCAGAACTTAGATATTTTTCTGAGAAGGCCCTTGCCTGTCTCCACTCTGATCTGCAGCAAGGCATGTCAGTGATGATAAGAGAATAAGTAATTATGTGCAAGTATTTAGGAGCAAGTAAATACTGTAAATCTATCCAGTGCTTGAAGATGGAAGGTTTCATTAGATTAGTTAGCCATTCCCATTTAAGGTCAAAGTATCAGCTAGCTCCAGCGAACAGGGAAGTCCTCTCTCCCTACCTGCCTATGCACTTCCTGCACTGGGACAAGCACAGCTGTTGCCTCAAATTGTGCTAAAAATCCTTCTAATGGGAGCTGCTGACCTGAAAAAGCAAACTTAGCTTAGGTAATTTGTGACTGTTTCTTTGTACCTACACTCAGTTATATGACAGGCCAAGGTAATAGCAAGAACACATCATGTTGATACACATGAATACAGCAGCTTCCAGGAACATGCTTTGTCTATTTTGCAGCAACAGTCATGTTGCACTTGGTATGATCATACAGCATGTACTAAAGAAACACAGACTGTGTTTACTTAATATTTAAAACAGAAGCCTACACCCCAAGGTTGCAAAAGTGTTGATAATTGCCATGTATCCTGTTTATGTCTGTGCCCAAGGAAGTAGCCCAAGTAGCATGAAACATGTGAAGCAAAGACACTATCAACAGAAACACTAAATATGAGCTGCTTTTTGTATTGCCAGTTATTTTACTGGCATTGTGTAAATAACTCCAGGAGATGATTTGCTTCCCAGTGTTTCTTCATCAGTTTCTGAAATGTAGAGTCAGATACCACCACACTTTACACTTTCTCCCTGCCCCAAAATTGGAAGGAGATCTACAGAAAAGGTCCTTTTACCTCAAAATAAAATATAACTAACATAATGACTGGCACAATTCTGGGTTTGGTACTCATATGGCCTTAAAATTTTGTTAAATTGTGCTCTTCTTTACCTACAAAATCTAACAACTCTTCTTTTAATCAGAAATGTATCAGCTAAGCAAGGCTTTTTCTTTTATTCAGCTGCCACATTCTGGAGGTTTCTGAAATATCCAGTTATCTTTTACTTGTTCACTAGTTGTATACAAGGAAAAAGAACATCCACATTCTTACTTAGTTTACATATTTTCTGTTCAGTAAAATGACAAATTTATGCTATTGAGCTCACCAAGGAAAGTTGCTGTGCTCTGACAAAAGGCAGATGTGTAGTCCTCTGCAGCCCATGAAACTCATGTTACGTTTAGAGATGTTTCATATATAAACAGTATTAAAATAGGGAATGTATGCCAAGACATAGACATGAGTGTTCTTGGATTCATGGTGCTAAATAAGAAGCATCATTTAACACATTCCCAAAAAATAGAAGTGACAGGCGTTACATGAAAGCTGTATCTACTCAATGAAATCTGTACACAGAACAGCAATACTTGTATACTAAGAAAGTAAGATCAAAAAAATACAGCAGTAACCA